AAATGAATGTGAATGTATTCTCTAAAAAGAGGACGTCCTAACATCTATCCCTGTAATACACTTATTTGTTTGAGTTCCTTGTAGATTCTGAATATTAGCCCTTGGTCAGATGAGTAGATTGCAAAATTTTTTTCCCCATTCTGTAGGTTGCCTGTTCACTCTGATGGTAGTTTCTTTTGCTGTGCAGAAGCTCTTTAGTTTAATTAGATTCCATTTGTCAATTTTGGCTTTTGTTGCCATTGCTTTTGGTGTTTTAGACATGAAGTCATTGCCCATGCCTACGTCCTGAATGATATTGCCTAGGTTTTCTTCTAGGGTTTTTATGGTTTTAGGTCTAACATTTAAGTCTTTAATCCATCTTGAATTGATTTTTTATAAGGTATAAGGAAGGGATCCAGTTTCAGCTTTCTACATATGGCTAGAAAAATAATAAAAATGAAAAATATTTAAGCATATTCTTTTGTATCTTTAGAAAGAGAGAATAACTCTCTTTCTAAAGATACGATCATATAAATATACATAATTATATTTTCAGGATTTTAGTCTTCCCGGATTTCAGCACTCAAGATTTTAGCACCTGAGATTGTGCCTTTTGGGATTATGATTATCTTCTAACTGAGCCCTATTAAATATTGTTGAATTTGATTGTCTGTATTTTGTTTAGATTTTTTACCCATGTTGACATAGGTGAGATTAGCCTGTGGTGTTTCTTTCTCACAGTATCTTCTCTTGTTACTTTTCTTTGATTAACGTGGTTATGATAACCTTATAAAATGAGTTGAGGAGTATTTGCTCATCTTCTATCTTCTGGAAATGTTTAAAAATTTTTAAAGTCGTTATTGAATAATTGGCAAAAGTTGTTGGTAAAGTCTTTCAGCTTTGCATTTTGATTGTGACATGAATTTACTGCAGATGTGGTTTTATTGAATTTAAGATTACTTAGATTTCACTGTGGGTAGTTTTGTTAAGTTGTAGTTTTCTAAGAATTTATCCATTTTATGTAAATATGCAAATTGACTTAAATAAAGCTATAACTAATCTATTTAATTGGGTGTCTAGGTTATTAAAAACAGTAAAATTAAACACTTATTTTAGGCTATGGGTATATTAATTCCCCTTAAGTTAAAAATGAGGATATAAATAGCAGAAAGCCTTTAAAATAAAATATAAAATATGACCATAACCTCAGTGCAGGGAAAGAGGTTTTCAAAACGATACAAAATTATTAAGTATAAAGTAAAATATTGTAAAATTTGCTTTACTAAAATTAAGATTAAAAAAATTAAAGATACCGTAAGAAAAATGAAAAGTCAAGCCACAGAATGGGAAGAAAAACTTGCAAAACATATAGCTAACAAAGAATGAATACCCAATCTATGGTAAAAAACAAAAGAGACTATAATATACCAATGAAAAAAGATACATACAGCTATGGATTAAAAATAACAAATAAAATTGACAAAACAAGGTATCTACATCAAGACACCATAACTAGGAATGCATTTAAGTCTGACCAAACATTTACGGCGGTGTGGAGCAATGGGAACTCTTGTATGCTGTTGGCCAAAATAAAAACCAGTGCAAACACATGGGACAGTCTTCTGGCAATATCCAGTAAAACTTGAGTATGTGTGAATGTATGATCAGCAATTCTGCTCCTAGGTATCTGCCCCTGAGAAGTTATTGCTCATGAGTACGAAGATATATCCTAGAATATTCATAGGTGCATTTTCTGAAATAGTCTGAACCTAGAAACTACTCAAATTACTATGCCTTATAGAATAGATACATATATTGTGGTATGTTTATACAAATGATATTACATAAAATAAAATAACTACAGTTATCTTCAACAACATGAATATTCAACAAAGCATATTATTGAGGAGAAAGGCAAGGCCCAAGAGAGAAGGTGAAATTTCCAGTGTGATTGTGTCACTCTGAACCATCAGATCAGGGGACACTTCTGTCCTAATCCCTTCATCTCATTGAAGTGTAGCAGTGTCTCAGGCCAAACCATCAGACTCCCAGTTCTGCTTTTGGCTTCACCTTCTACTGGCCACCACCCCCTGACTGTCTCCACTCTAGTCTCACTGGCTGCCATGCTGGTTTTGAACACACCAGGCAAGGTCACTCTTTGAGTCTTTGCATGGCTCTCCTTCTGTGGAGAACCCTCTTCCCCGGATGGCTAGAGGGCCACTGCAGCACTTCCTTCAGATCCTGATGAGAATGTTCCACTTTCAATGAAGCTTTCTCAGGCCACTGTCTGTCTTTTGCTTTATTATTCTTCAAAGCATCATCACTACATAATCTAATATTCATGTCTTCATTCATTTATTTATCTCATTAATCATCTGTTTGCTCCTAGTAAACTGTTACCTATGTGATAATACTGGTGCAAAAGTAATTGCAGTTTTTGCCATTAAAAGTGAGGGCCAAAAACCTCAATTGCTTCTAATGGCAAAACCCACAATTACTTTTGCAACCACCTAATATCTTTTTTTAAAATTGCTTCATCCTTAGTTCTTATACAGTGTCTAACTCGTGGTTGTTATTAAATAAATACTAGTTTATTGAATGGTAAAACAAATGGGAAATCCACACTCCAATTCCAGGAAAGCAATTACCACTGAGGGTGGTGAATGCAGACAGCATTAGAAGCTGGTGGCTTATATATACCTATTAAATGTGTCTCATTAAAAAGTGAATAATCAAAAAGCATATAATGCAAAAATGTTAACAGCACTTTAACCTCAGCTGTGCATATATTGGTTCCTATTTGCTTTCCTGTGTGTTTGAAATTTAAAATGTTTTATGATTTTTTAACATAAAGAGGAGAAACAACTTTGGAAGTTTGGCATATTGCATTGTTCTTTTGGGATATAACATATTATTTCCTTTAAACTCAGTATTTCTCAGAGATCTTTTAACATGAGACACATTTTTTTCAAGTGAACAGCTATAAATGATTTCTGCAAATAAATGTGGTTCCCTGTTTGTTTTACTACTCAACCAATCAATATTTATAAAATACCGATTACGAGTTAGACACTTGTCTAAAAACTGAGGATAGAGCAGTTTAAAAAATGATACCATGTTACCAGGTGGGTTATAGTCCAGTGAGAACAGACAGATGATAAACAAGTGGAGTAAATGAATGATTCAAAGCAGGGATGATAGATTAAGTAGCGGGGATATTACAGAGAAAAACAAAGCAAGCAAGAAAGACAGTGGCCTGAGAAATGAGATAAAACTTTGACTTCATTTTCCTTTCAACTTGGGTCTTGTTTATCTCTAAGGTTTGCCAATATGTACTAGGACCAGAGCTCTCCTGTAAAATACTTTAACACTGAGACATTTACAAAAGTAGATCTCATATCACATTGTATTACTTATGTATATATGTATATATGAATGTATGTATGTATATATGTATCAGTTTTCTAACCATGCTGCTTGATTTCCCAAAGCAAGTGCATCATATTAAAAAACATCATAAAGAGTACCTCATATTAATTTCCCAAATCAAGCTGCATGATTTGGTAAATTCAAGCTACATGATTTGGGAATGAATATGATGTACTGTTTATGTAGATCATATTAATTTATATTCACTTCTGCACTTGTCTAACTGAATTCATTTTTTAAGTTATATGTGGAGCTCTGCCTTAGATTTTGAGGGCATGGGGGCTACATACATACATATGTCCTCAAGGAAAATGACAAATATGTAACTGTTTTTCATTTTATTTTGGCTTCCTGGGAGCTTATAGCCCATTTTGTTTTTCAAATAAATTACATAAAATCTTGGACAAACTAAGCTAAACCAAGGTGAACCTGGTCAGAATGGTAAAAGAATAAGAAAACAAATCCTTTGAAGGAGAAAAATGGCAGAAAAATTTGCTAAGAGAATAAGCGAACTTATTTTTATGTTTTCAAATATTTGAGAAGTGTATACAATTTATCTGTTGACCCCAGAAGGCACAACTAACACCGATGAGTAAAAATGCAATACAGGAAAGAACTTTCTAGTTATCATAACCATCAAGATGGACTGAAACATATCATTAATGTCTAATGAGCATGTCTAGTACACATGGAAAAATCTTGAAGTTTCTTTCCAACTCTCCAGTTCCATAAATCTATAAATATTGGTCCTTTGATATTTATGCCAATCTTCTCTGTAATCTGGAATGAGGGAGCTCACTTCCCACAAAAGACCAACGCTCCTTCCTCATTTAGCTTCTTTCTAAAGGCTCTGACATCTATTTACAAAAATTCTTAGTGTCACAGAGTTCAATGAAGGGTGTTTGCACATATGTAAATAAGTGTGCATGCCTTGTCCAGGGTTGTTAAAGGTTACTGATGCGTGCCATAAATTTTTAAGAGTCATCTGCTGCTCTGGGCAGAGGCCACGGCTGGTAAGGCTGTTGTGCTGCCATCCACTCATCATAAATCCTTCAGAAGGCTTCGCACTGTCATGGGCAATTTTGTTTTTATTGTTACTCTTTCATTTAACAAAACATGATAAATTGGTTCTGTCTATTGTGCGTTTCTCAAATAGCCACTTCCTGGTTCATTATCATGATTATATGACACGTGAAAAGAATAGGGAAGGCTGAGTTAATGGGGCTGTCTATGAGCCACAGACTGCTAGGAAACTAAAAAGATCTGCATGTTGACAGCATCACAGCTGAGTATCGGGACCCACCAGATGTCCCTGAGCTGTGACCAAAATCAAGGAGCCTTTGTTGACACCCCACCCACACACACCAACACCCGCAAAGGTTATGCATTAAAGAAGGATGATAGATCAGTATTGTGCAAAAAGGAATAAAAATAAAAAAATAAAATATTGAATGTTTTCCTTATGAGTCTTCCAATTGCTTTCTTTGTATCCCCTATAACTCTCTCTATTGTGCAAAAATTCAATTAACAATTTCATAAATCAATTACAAGAGTTTTTTTTTTAATGAAGTTATCAAATATTTAATGGATGTTTTTCAGAACACAATGGTGAAATTCAATTTCTAGTAAATTAGTTTTTTTAACCTAATCCCAGAATATGCTTAATTATGTAACATAATTTTGCGTTAGGTATTTAGTGACAGAAACAAGTACTATTTGGTCATTACAATCTCATGATTATAATTCATCAAAGTACATTCAGAAATGATTTTACCATGATTCAGCAACAATATCAACAAAACAGCAAATACTAAATTGAAGTGGAGTTAGATATTTTCTAGCTTCAGAAACCATTTTTCTAGGCCCAGAGTTTTCTGTGTGCGCACTGCACATAACCAACAATAGTAGTGATGAGAGCGAACACATGCACAGGGCTTTGGAGTCTGAAATGAATTTGCTCACCTGGTCCCTTCTTTGATCATCCTGATTATGCTGAGAGGTAGACAAGCTCTACTTCATTTTCCACATGAAGAACTGAAGATTCAGGAAGGTTAAGTGACTCTTCTTGAAGATGAATCTAAAATGTGCTAGGCTGGAATTCTGGCTTCAAAATCTGTTTTCTTTTCCATTTTATTTTCTTTTCCAACTCTGTCTCTCTGTCCATTAAAAAATCTGTTCCTTCCCCTGCCACACCATGCCTTGTGGTTGATGCCTCAGTAACACTGAAATGCTGTCGGTGAACAGACCTGCCATGTGATTCCAGAAGCCCATGGCTTGCACAGCCTGTTCTGATTGCTTGGAATTCTTCTCCAGGTGAACAATGAAGCTCCTGTTGATCTTCTAAAATTCTTCATTGTCATCATCTCCTTAGTATCACATTTCCAGACACCTTTCCATATTTTTTTAAAACTTTGTATTTAATGCCCAAACACACCCCAAAATAGAATTTCTTCCAGCCTCAACATTTGTCAATCTTCAGTCCTTTGTGATTCTTCCATCATTTCCTTGATGTATTTGTTGGTTTTGTGTTGCTGTTTGCCAGAAAATTTCAAAACAAATTTTAGACATCTGTGAATATGTTCATATACATTCTAAAACATTTTGTTTCCCATTTGTAACCTATTTATGATTATGTCATTTCTTCCCCAGTATGTCATCAATTGTCCTCAGTTTTTTCAACATGTATCTTCTGTTGGCTTATTCAAATAAGAATTAGAGGAGATTCTCATACTGTACTTTCTTGATGTGGAACTTGTATCCCCCTCAGTCTATAGCAGGCTCCCCACCTACCTCCGACATTTCCCCCATGCTTTTCCTTTCTTGAAGAAATGGTAGAATTTCTCAAAGTCTGGATTTGATTCATTGCATCTCCTGCTATTTAATATGTTCCTTTATCTTATTTCTTATTAACTAGGCAATTAAGTCTAGATGCTTGATTACATTCGGTCTTTATATATAGATAGATGAAACTTGATTAAATGCTTGATTAAATACATTTTGTATGTATGTATATGTGAATAATTGAAATGGGGTATCAAGCATTTCCTATTGCACCATCTCAAAGAAATACATACAATCTTATTGTTCCACTTTTAAAACAGTAAAGTTAATGTCTGGGTTCAGACATTATCAATCTGATCCATTCATTAATGACATCCCTGTCTATCTTTCCCAGTGGATTTCACCCGTGGTAAAGTAGTAAACAAAAGAAAACAAATATTTGTTGCCTAGCACCATTATTTCATTGGAAGTAGCAAAATGGTAATTTCTAAATTCAAACATTTGTCCTTTTTTGTAATTTTTTTCTGTAACAAACTTAGCCTCACCAAGTATTTTTTTTTCTAAAATGCAGTCTGTATTAGAAAGGCAGGATAAATGTTGTTATCTTCTTTTACTTAGCAATATTTAGAATAATCAGTGGGTGCCCTAGCAAACTCCAAAGTTGATCAATAAGGTTATTATTTTTAAAAATGTATTATTATAAATGAATGGACGTGTGCACATTTGTGTGTATGTATATGTGTGTGTACATTTTCAAAATATTTTTATGGTGTAATTCACTCCACTGCAGTTGACATTCTCTTGGTTGCTCAAATTTTCTCATCAAGGGCAGTAGAACTCCGTTTTGCAAGTTGCTTCTTATACAGATGGCCTCTTGTTCATCTGTGATAATTTATTTGCTTTCGACATGACCAAATGTGCCAGGCTCACATTTTATTAGATGAGACCTTTTAAATTGCCGAAATTCAATCATTTTGGACCTACAAAGGGACAATGTAATACAGTTCAAACTAATACATATTTTGCTCCTATAGTAGAGTGAGCTAGTTCAGGGAGTCCTGGTTCCTTATAGTGAAATAGTGTTTAGATATCATAGGGGATGAAATGTTAATTGGTCCTGGCTTTTGATTACTTCAATATATATTTCTTAAAAGAGAAAAAAAAACACAAGTGTGTAATAATTTTTCAATTTATGTAAAGATTATATGATTTTACTTTTATTGAAATTCTTTTTATTTTTGTATTTCATTTCTCTTATGAAAATCTTCCTTTCTAATTATACTAATAAAAACATATTTTCTTTATCCTATTTAAACTATGCTAGGCATATGCAATAGTCTCAAAAAACAAAGTAGTAATGTCAATATTGCTGACAGAACAAATATATTATAACAAAATTGTTATAGATTACCAGATGCAATATAAGATACTGTGTTAGGTTTTTCTTTCATTGCTGTAAAGAAATACATGAGACTGGATAATTTATAAAGAAAACGGGTTTAATTGGCTCATGGTTCTGCAGGCTGTTCAGGAAGTATAGCACTGGCATTCACTTCTGGAGAGGCCTCAGGAAGCTTCCAACCATGACAGGAGGTGAAGGAGGAACAAACACATCAATGGCAAAAGGAGGACCATCCGGGCGAGGTGGCTCATGCCTATAATCCCAGCACTTTGGGAGGCTGAGGCGGGTGGATCACGAGGTCAGGAGATGGAGACCATCCTGGCTAACACAGTGAAACCCCGCCTCTACTAAAAATAAAAAATAAAAATAATAATAATAATAAAAAAAATAGCCGGGTGTGGTGGCGGGCACCTATAGTCCTAGCTACTTGAGAGGCTGAGGCAGGAGAACGGCGTGAACCCAGGAGGTGGAGGTTGCAGTGAACTGATATCGCGCCACTGCACTCCAGCCTGGGCAACAGAGCAAGACTGCGTCTCAAAAAAAAAAAAAAAAAAAAAAAAAAAGGACCAAGGAAGGTAAGGAAAAGAGCCACATGCTTTTAAATGACTAGATCCCCTGTGAAATCAGAGCAAGAGCTCACTTCTCACCAAGTGGATGGTGTAAACCATTCATGAGGTATCTGCCCCCACGATCCAAACAGTTCCCAGCCAGCCCCACCTCTGACACTGGTGATTGCATTTCAGCATGAGATTTGGGAGGGACGAATGTCAAAACCATACCAGATACCTTGTGTTTACTTTTAGCTTAGATTATACTTGGGTTTTAGAGTAACTTAATCATTATTTGACTTCCTGTACTACTTAGTTGATATATTTTAGGTTCATTTATTTCTATTTTTACAGATTGTTTTCTTTTTCATTCTTAAAAAAATTACATAATATTTTTCATGGTTTTAGAGTCCTCCAGCTATTTTGTAACACCATCTTAATATTTATATTATTTGCAATCATTGTATATATGATATTATACATTTGTGTGTGTTCATGCCAGTATATCTCACTTGACCAGGAACTAAGTGGGGTCAGGTTCCGTGTCTATATATAGCAAAGTAATTGGCAAGAGAGAAAGTTCTAAACTTAGACGTGAGTCGTGTGTGTGTGTGTGTGTGTGTGTGTGTGTGTGTGATGTGAATACAAGAATGAAACAGTTGTACATCAGAAAGGTAAACTTGTAGTGTTCATTTCTGGAATACATAACATGTGTGTTGATCTCAATAAAGACTAGGAATATAGGTTGCTGGGGTATATTTGGAATCACTGGGTGTTCTTCCATGCCGAAAAGTGAAAAAAATTAGTGCTGAGTTAGGTAAAATGAACCCATCTTAGTAGAATGAAGATGGGATATTAGCTGTGCAGGGCTTTTTGAAATTAGAACCTCAATGGTCAAGCTCTACAACTCCAGTTAGACAGATCTGGATTCAAATCCTAGCCCAGCTCTACCTCTGAATAAATATATAATATTGGACAAGTTATCTACATTTTCTCTAACCCAAATTCCCTTATTATGCAATGGAGACAGTAAAAATTCCTGCCTCTTAAGGTTGCTGTGAGGAATCTGTGATAAAATAAATATAATGTGCTTATCACAGGGCTATGAACATAGAAATTAAGTAGCTATTACTAAAGAACTCTTATTACCACCATCATCATAATTATCTACTGCTACTGCTAATACTACTATTTACCACACTGTTTTTAAATGCACTTCAAATTTATTAACTAAGGTAGTAGTTCTACCTTAATGACAAGTACATGACTCCACATTTAATGCCTAAGGTAGTAATTCTCAACCTTTACTGTACTTGGAAGCGGGGGAGGGACCTAAAAAGTACAGATGCCCAGTTGCCACCCCTGAAGATCTGTTGTCCTTGCTCTACAGTGTGGACCACGCGTGGGGTTTGAAAAGCTCTCAGGTGATGATAACGTAGCACTAGGATGGGGGAAAACTGCTGAAGGCCTTCAGATTTCAAACGATCAAGTGAGAAGCTGTTTGTTAACATTTGACTTATTCATTTATAGGCACAATTCTGCCTGGCAGTTTGTGAAAAGTCAAAATAATCAAAATCAATTTCCATTAAGAGCACTATGCACACCCCAGCTAGGATTCAGGGACACCCTTTTTCTTTCTGCCATTCTCTATCTGCTAATCTGCTAACTATGGATAAAGGTTTTCATTATCAGTAAAAAACCACTTGTGACTCAGGCTAAAGTACCAGTGAATCCCATTCACGTCATATGAAATAAAGGTAAAATGAATCAGTACTCCCAGGGACTAACATCCCGAGGTCAGTGAAGACCATTCTGCTTAGGAAAAAATAGATATGAGGCACATTATCTCCTGTCCCAGCTATTGTGTTAATCTCTAAGTTTGATACACGTTAAGAATGAATCCTTAAAAAGAAAAAAGCACGCAGTTCAACCCCCTGCACCAGCATGAGCTGAATCTCTAAGTGCCGTTGTGCTTTGTATTTTTTCGTCTTATTCTTCCTAATGAACGTAAAAGCATTGAGGCTCAGAACGCAACTAGGATAATCAATAAGGACCTTTACAAACAACTCAGGCATTTTAAAGCTCCTCATCATTACAATGGAGACATAATTACATAAAAATTTTAAAAACCCACAGCAGGGCAGTGCAAGTATTACTGTAGTACCTTAGCTTTAAAATCAGATCCTGGGCTGGGTCCTACATTTATGATTCATTAATTTTACTCGTGATTTTCACATGAACATAGTTTTCAATGCTGAACAGGCACAAGGCAGCACCATCATCGATGCAGCAGGCTGGACCACGCCCCTCTCTGCTTACTCCACGTGTGTGCCGCAGGACAGCTAAGGATGGGGAACTGGAAGGCTGAAACTATTTTCTTCAGCTCTGTTTGAAAAGTAAACAAACTGTATCATTTAGAAGAAAAATTCAAGAACTTCTGATTTCTCTTTAGGCCACTGTACTTGCACATCTGCTTAATTTTCCGGTTCATTGAGAAGCCTAGTTTTGAGTTGTAAAGATTCAAGGACAATAGTAAGTCGTATCTTTTGAAAGATCTGAATAATAAGAATCAACGTCACTGGAATTTTACTCCATTCCATAAATGTATAGATATAGATATAGATACAGATGACTTCTTTTTTTGATTTCTGGCATTGGAACCAGGCTCCATATTAAGAAAAAACTGAGCTAATAGTGCAATGAGGAATAACTAAACTTATTTGTCACATGAGCAAACTTTAAGAAGAGAGCCCACAGGGCACCAGACATTCAGGACTGGATCTGGATTATTGCTACTGGA